TCTTTCCCTTGATGGCTCCCAGCATCGTGCATCACAAAACTGGGCACCACCTGGCATCCTTGATTAAACGCATCAAGCAAAACCTTTGCAAGTGAGAAGCAGACGCGTGAGCGTGGGAGGGAGGTGCAGGCACGAGGGCAGGGAAGGAATGGGAGGCCCTTCCAGTGGGACTGGCCCGCTGAACATCTGGAAGATGTTATGCTGCGTCTGTGATGTCTCTTCAGTAGGGAGGGACAGGAGGTTAGATTCATATCCTTGACCTACAGAGCAGTTATAGGTCTGTAGCTGCCTTGCAGGAAGGCACTGAGGATAGAAGATATTAGGGGGTTCCTAGTCCAGCTCTGCAGTGGTGCCTCAGGCTGTATTGTTATTGCTAAAACTCATTTTGTAAAGCTGGGAGGTGACTGGGTCACAGCCCGTGCGGTGCAACGGCTGCTCCAGCTCCCTGCTGCCTGCCAGGACCGGGGCAGCATCAGCACGGGGCTGGCAGTGTGCTGACCCCAGCTGCTGCACTCCTGTCTCCCCACTATTTTTCCTCCTCCCTCCTGTTCTTCCATCCCTTCTTTGCCCCTGCTTTGTGCAGTGGCTGGTGGGACATTGTTTGCTGGGATCTGCAGGAATTTCTCCAAAGTGCAAAATAAGGTATTTTAAAGGGAAATGTTGAGTTTCTGCTCGTCTCACAGTTCTTCTTGCAGTCGTTGCTCTGTTCTTGGACTGACTCCAGGCACCCCCATTCCCTTCTAAATATTGGGAGGAGTGGGTATATTTAGAAATATTGTAACTACATAATAACACATCTTCTTAGTGATGAAAAGGGCAGACTTGGGTAACTAGGAAGCAGTTTATAAACAGCCCAAAATAGATGTGAGCTTTGCCCTAACTTCTCCGCACTGGAGAGCCAAATTCACATCTTGGTGATGCATTAATTAATTAATCTTCATTTTGTATTGCTAGCAAGTAAAAGTATACCCAAGTTCAACAGTGGGTCTTGGGATGGTGCCTCTTTTTAGATGCACTCCACAAGGCCACCTTGTAGCTCCATGTATCAAGGAAGCCAAAGTTAAACTAATATTCACGAGTAGACAGATGGAGAGGTGATTTCTAATAGCTCATGGCTTTTTACTGTAGCAGGCAAAGACATAATGAGAGAGAAATCTATGTTAGAAACATACTGTAAATTTGAAGCAGTGGCATTAACCGAAGGATGATTTACCTGGGGGCACAGCTGACTTGCTATCACTTGAAATCTTTATATCATGCCTGGGATTTCTCTTTAGAAGAGGAAAAGCTGACTGCCAGGGGACAGGGACTCTCCAGGTTTGTCTGACAGCTCAGATGGGTTTTGTTAGAGCTAGTCTGGTTTTGTCCAGTTCTTCCTCTGCTGTCGGTGACATCTTCTTTAAAAAGCATGTATCTATGCATATAGCACTATGACATACACCCTGGAGATACTCCCATCTTTCCCATTGACATTCGGTCACTTCTAAAGCCCCTCAGGAGTTAATGCAGGGAAATTGCATGTGGGGGCATTATCCTACTGATGGAGGGGATTCATTCCAGGGCCACAAAAACTCTTCTTTTTAGCAACACTGGTGGATGTCTCTTTCCATGTAAGCCTAGGGAGCAGCTCCTTGGAGGAGAAGGCTCTGAGTAGGAGGAGGCGTTGAATGCCAGGGCAGATGTGCACTGTGCAGATGGCCCCTGTATTTTTGTCTCCTGAAGGTTGAACACTCTTCCCACAGGAGGTGAGGTGGCTCAGGAAAGTGTCTTCCAACACCTTTCCCCTTCCTCTTGGATGTCCCACTCCCCACGCAAGACACCCTCCTGTTCCAGGTCCATGCATCCTTATCCCTGCAGGCTGCTTTGCCTGGCCCAGTGCTCCTGGGGACATTCTTGTGTCCCCAAGCACTCCTCAATCCAGGCTGCATACAACTGACAGCAAGTGGTGGGACACCGTTCTTCATGGCCAGGTTTTGATGCAGATGGAAAAGCAGTGACCTTGGAAGGAGTTTACTTAATCCAAATGTGGCATATTTGAAGGATGCTGGTGTTAGAGGGCAGCAGGTCCTATTGCCATGGATAAGTATTACAAAACTCCTTGGGAAGGTCTTGTAAAAAGTCCTGCCTTCCTTTCTAACTTACTGGGGTCTGTGGTGTAGACTTGGCACTTGCTGCTGGGTGGTATTTAATCCAGTTACTGGTGGCTATATGTTGAGGGACATACCATGAAAAGTGGAAATCCTTACCACTGAGCCCTTCTTCAACACCACAGAAAAACAAGTTAGTATTTAAATTTCTTATTAATGCTCAAAGCTTGTCATCTTTTCATGAAAATATCTGGAGGGAAAACAAGCTCCACATTTAAATAGCTGGGACAGACTCAAGGGAAATTGCAAACGAGGGAAAAGAAGCGGTTGTATCATTCTTTAAGCATCTT